CACATGCTGTGGAGCAGTGTGACACTCACCAGCTGATGGGGAGTGGGAAACCCACGGCCCCAGGGAGTGATTGCCCAGGCAGGTCAGTCGGGTGCTCTGCTCATGGCAGCCTTTCTCACCAAACCCAAGCGAAGCAGTGCTCAAACAGCAGCTTGGGCTGCCCCACAGCACCCAGCATTTTGTTACCCCTGGAAGAGCTGGTTCCCCGTTGCTCCTGGCTGGAGGATGTGGGGTCACATTTATTGGGGAGCACCGTGCTCACCTCTGCCTGCCGGATCCAGCTGCTCCTGTGGCTTCCCCGCCGGCACAGCCCGGTGCTGGCAGGGAGGCAGCTCTGCTCTCCTGCGCCGTGCAAAATGTCCTCTGCCTCCCAGGCAGAGCAGGCATCCGAGGAGCCTCTGAGCAGCCATCAGAGCAAGGCTCTCTGCCTGCTGGGCTTCTCCAGGCAGCCCCAGGATGGATGGCAGCCCCATTCCCCAGCCGCCCAGCAGACCCCACGCCCACCCACCTCCCCTTGGCATCCTGCACCTGGGCCCTCTCCACCGGCTGGAGGCAGGGCTGCCATTTCCAGGCTCGCTCCTCCCAGGCCGCTGTGTTTTCATTCCCAGGCCTGGGAGCTGGGAGAGGAATAAGCCGAGGTCAGAGCAAAGGCCTGGACCCGTCCCCGTGGCTCAGCTGCGGCTGCTGAAAGAGTGGCTCTCTCTTAAGAGGCGCCTGTGCCCCGTGAAAGACACACACCTCAGCTGTGTTTGCCGGCTAAAAATAAAGCACCCGGCTCCCCTCACTAGGAAGTATTTACTTTGAGAAAAAAAAAAAAGTATTGTGTACAGTTCTGGGTAGAGAAACAATGTGAATGCCCCCAGTCCCGGCCCGAGTCAGCATGGAGCGTGGGGAAAATGACTTCTTCTTTATGCCTTGGTTTCCTCAGGAGAAATGAACCCTCCTGGGCTGGAGCGACTCTCAGCTGCTCAGCAGGGCTGGGGCTGTTTTCACTGCAGTGGGTAGAGCTGGAGCTCTAAGTGCAGGATGGGGCTTCGTGTTTGCATGGTGCAACATGACACAGAAGTGCTCAGTGCAGGGAAACACCATCAGCATTTTAGCAGCTGCTTTTCTCCCATTTTTCAACCAGAAATGATCAGAAAAATTTCCCAGCAAAGTACTTCCAGGAGAAAAAAAGAGCAAAATCTGTGAGATCAAGACCCATCGTCATCTTGTGGGTTCCTTTATTATGAGCAATACAACTGATATTGTTCTTAGCCCAGCATCTCCCCAGTGCCTATTCCTAAGGCACTCACTGTGCCCATGGCATGAGGGGCAAGAGGAAAAGGGAAGTTCGAGGAATGTAGCTCCTCTTTCTCCTCGCAGCATTAGCAGAGGGAGCCTGCTGTGGTTTAACATATCCCCCGCAAAAGCTGCTTTCATCCTACACCTAAATACCATGAGGAGTGAACTTCCTAAAGCCCTGGAGAAGTCTAAATATAGAAGCCAATCAAGGGCTGACTTCCCAGAGATGCAAAGTACCAAGAACAGTTTCTTGATCAAAAGTTGTAAGAGTCCATATTGAAATAAAACGTCTGTTTTGGTACTGAAGCCTGTGCAGGAGGGGAAGCTGCAGAGGTGGGCTGTGTGCTGGTGGTGTCTGCAGCAGGAGGCCAGGGGCTGCCCAGGGAGATGGACTTGAGGAGTCATGGTGTTTGGAGGAAATTCTTCATGGTGAGGGTGGCCAGACACTGGCACAGGTTGCCCAGAGAAGCTGTGGCTGTCCCATCCCTGGAAGTGTTCAAGGCCAGGTTGGATGAGGTTTGGAGCAACCTGGGCTAGTGGAAGGTGTCCCTGCCCACAGCAGGGGGTTGTAATGAGATGGTCTTTAAGATCCCTTCCAACCCAAATGATTCCATGATTCTATGATCTCTCAAGCACCTGATGGGATGTCTCTGGCAGCATGGCAGGATTTCGTCCTATCCTGTATGTCACAGTTTTGACCTCTGTCCACTCCCTGGTCCAGCTGAGCATTTTTGCTAGAAGACTGAAAATTTCCTGAGACCAAAACACAACCTGTAGGAAATTAGAAAGGCACCTGAAAGACCAAAGAGCAGCAGAGCACTCTTGGTAAAACCCAAACCCCACTTTTGTTTATCCTAGCACAGGGATGCACCTTTGTGCCTGCAGCAGAAGGAACCACCCAGGGCTGGCAGAAAGGGCAAGAGATGGCTGAACGCCACAGGGATGGCACTGCCAGTGTGAGCTGTGGAACCTGTGCTCATGCAGTGGGGTGACTCTAGCATGGGACAGGGGAACCCTGATCCTGACCCAGCTGGGGACACTGGTTGTGTCCCTCAGCCAGTGGGCAGCAGGAGCGCAGGCAGAGCAAACGACACGGCCTGTCTCTGTGTGCAGTGGAGGTGACCTTGAGGGACAGTTCGATATGGCTGGCCCCAAACCTCCTGCTCCACTGTCCCAGGGACGAGGGTGACAGTGGCCCTTCCAGACAGCAGCAGGAAATTAGAGTTTAACGTGCAAGAGACTCTGTACTGGGGCGGGGAGGTGCTGTGGTTGGGAGATACAGAGGGGAACGCTTTCATGTGGGAAGTGCAAGGAGAGGCGAGGGCAGAGGGTCTGCTCCCAGGCAGAGAGCAGAGTGCAGCCATTATCAGGCAGGGCTCTGCTGGCAGGAAGCGGCTTTTGACTCACAGGAAGCTGAATTCGGCTGGTATCAGCCCCTCGCGCGAGGGCCAGGGCAGTGTTTTATCTGCTGTTGAGCACAGCAGATGGGGAAACAGTCGGCACTCCCTCCCAACCCACTCCTGCTCCAGCAGCCCCTGACTGATGGCCCTCCAGCGTACCCCTCTTGGAAAAGGGATGCTTCCCTGTGGAGCCACGAAGCAGGGGCAGCTTCCCAGGCCCCAGGAGAGCTGCCCGCCCCACTGGAGGAGGCAGAGATTGTCCTGCCAGCTGGTGCAAGGGCAGAGCCAGGACCCTCCAGGCTGCTGATCCCAGAACAGGCAGGTACCAGGTCCTCCAGCAGTGTCTACCCCAGTCAATCTGAAGAGGAGCTGGAAGCATGTAGGCCTTGGAGAGCTGGCTCTCTGGCTTGAAGCTCAGATTGAATCCTCACAGATTCTCCCAAATCCAAGTCCAAGATGGGGAGGGGCTTGCAGGGTTGGGGAGCCCTGTCATCCCTTGGCCTCTCTAGAGCTGCCCGGGTTGGGAGTCTGGTTTCGCTCGGGGTGGTGGCAGCTCACCGGGGCTCGGGGTGAAGGTCATTGCGGGCAGTGTGGAGGGGATCGGGTGGCAGCTGCCGGCCATAGACCTGCTGCTCCGTGGAAAACACAGTTTGCTCCTCAGTGCTGCAATTTAGCTGCAAAAACATCAAATTGTGGCAGTTTTCACACCCAGGCCAGGCTGCTGAGGAATGGCCACGGGGGCTGGTGGAG